TTAGATAATAAATATATATATATATATATATATATATATATATATATATGTGTGTGTTTGTGTTTGTGTGTAAGATAGTACGAGTATAAGATTGTCATCCTACTATTATTATGATTTTTCTATCAGATTGCTGCACTGACTCCTGTGGCAGAAGCTGCCAAGCATTTCACAAAGGACTACAAGACTTTTGCCACAGCTGTTGACACCACCCGACATGAGCTTCCTGTCAAAAATTTCTACATTGACGGGGACAGAGGGGAATTTCTAGGTTGTTGTTACTATATTTAAAAGCAACCCCAAATGACACGTGTTATATGTATTTTGCAGGAATTTATGGCAAATGTTACGATAATCATATCCACCTGTATCTACCTATTCTAGATAAAGCTGAGGCTTGCCTGAAGGAGAGTGAGAAGTTGCTGAAGGAGTGCACAGAGGGAGATCATAAGGAGAACAGCACCTCTCTAGAGTGCCTCAGGGATATAAAAATGACATCGAAGGGCATCAGTCAGCAGCTATCAGGGTAGGCACATAAATGGAGAACATGTCTTTTGGAATCTGGTGATGCTGTAAATATATATTGTCACCTGTTTAATGTATTCCTCCTTTGTTCCTGCGAAGTCTTCCCTAAAGATATATTCATTCTGTATTTATGTGGCTGAACCGAGATAATTACTTTATTTGTTAAGAATTTAACCATAGCGTGAATTCAGTAGAGGCTATAAACAGTGTTTTTAATTTTCCTAGTACATTCTCCGAGCTGCTGGAGCTGTCCTCATTGGTCTCCCGCCATACAATCCATGTCCAACAGTCCACAGAGGAAGAACAGCTCGGCACTGCAAGAACCACCGAGCTCTACTGCCCCAAACAGTGAAGGATTACCACACAACATGGGATACACAGTACATGCACTTTGGATACCCCTCCACCCCTTCCTATATTTGTGTTTGTTTGTTTTTTGCAGCTTTGAATAATGCCTGATACTGTTTCATAGATGTAACATTGTTAATAAAACAAAAAACTATTAAAAATAGACATGAACAATGAACATATCCTACTTTTATGTTGTGTTAAATACAGCAGCTAAACATATCTATATCTGAATACATCTTACTTTTGGGAAAACAAAGACGTTAGAGGACAAGTTCCAATGCATGCTGGATGTATGTACGCTTCATAACAAGTTAGCTTTATACATGTTAGCAAATTCAATCTATACATAATTTAATTGATCAATCAACTGGCTATCGCGTCCAATTCCGGATGTGACGTTACACCCAAACACCAGTGACGGCTCTTATTGGCTGACGCTGGAAAGTGACGACCGGTTCTTTTGTGAACGACCAATGAACCGCAGGAGAGCGCCTCGTCGCATGTGAGTACACGGGATTTATTTCACATTTATTAAGGGTTTCGTGGAAAATGGGATTCAAAGCCAAGTGTTTAATGTGCGTCGACAGCTTGTTTGGTGTAACTTGTGTGTTGTTCGATAGTAGAAACGCCATTCGCGCTGCTATCTGTCGTTGCTAGCTGGCTAAGTGTCGTAGCTAGCTGAAGATTTGGCTTTAGCCTGAAAGTAGAGTCACCACTTCTACCAGCTACTCTCACATGAGTTCACTTGGAGCTAACGTTAGTGTGTTATAGTGGTTACCAGCCACTGACGACTGATTACATGTCGCTGTTGTGTCTTTTGTTGCATTATAAAGCCAATACAGCAAACAAAAACAAAGAGCAGAGATGAAACAGTTAGCTGTCACCACAGAAGTTAGATATTTTGTTTAAAGAAGGATGGAGACATTAACATTAA